TAGAGATCCATTTTGATTTATTCCATCACACCCCAAAGCCAAAAAATGGTGAAATTTTGGCTCCATCGGAGATGATGGAAAAAATAGAATGAATGAATGCTCAAGAAACTGCAACTTCACCACTATGGGCAACTAGCTTAAGAGGCATGTTGTACTTAATGCTTACAAAATCTCTTGATTTTGAATTTGAGATCCGCCTCCATTTGAAGCCCATCCCTGAGATGAGTCCCAATTAGAAGCTATTGCTGGCTCATCCTGATTGGGCTTTGATGAAGTAAATTGCCCTTTGTTTCGTTGCATCCTACATGATCAATAACAAACAGACCTTTATAAAAAAAGATTAAGGCACCGTAAACAGAAAACATTAACACAGAAATCTAAAATTTTAATGATCTGGTTCATGTAAGGATCATTAGAATGCATGCAGCAGACAAACTATACCCAAATAAATGAATATGGAAGCAAAAGATAAGATATGAAGTTAGTTTGAATTTAGGAAAACATATTAGCCCTAAATTCATACATCCAGTGCGCATTGAGCTCATTTTAAATTGACTAACTTACTAGCAAAGTTTTTTTTGTTTTTTTTGGGGGGGGGGCATTCCCTTACCTGAGAGCAACCTCCTTTCGGACAGTGTATCGAATTTTCTTCTCAAAACTCCGATCTTTACGCTTTTCTCTAAATCTAATTAACGAGGCAATTCTTTGGGGAACATTAAGCTTCGGAGGTGCAGCAGGCACACCCTGTATAAATTAACTATCAGCTAGATTGTAAAAGTTGCAAAGGGTAGTTCTAACTTGAGCGTTATTTTGGAAACTTGTCAAAGTTAAGGTTTTTCTTACTCTATAATTTTGATTAGCCATAGGCATAGGGGTGGTCGGAGGGACCTCGCGTCCACCTAGTAATAAGAGCACGACTTGCACCTAAAAAATGAATTTAAGATTATTAAATCCCTTGCCAAAGGATAATTAAAGATCTAGAGAAATACAGAAGTATAAACCACATGTATGCAAATGATGCATCCTAAGCATTTTTATGGATCAACCCATCAGATATTTGGGGGGGGGATATGTTGGCGGTCCAACCACATGACCACCCCCACCTCCTCCATCCATGACATTAAATTCAGTAATTAACTTGTGTTAATACTTCAACCAACAAGAGTACCACACCATAAATGGGCAGTATACTTGTCTGACAAGAAGGAATACCTCATGTATGGTGAATTTGGTTCCACTTATTTCAAATAACCTTTGCCTATAGGATTACCACCAAAAATAAAATGTGAGATTAACTAATGTGTTTAGTTGAGAGTATGATAATTTAATATTACGTTGCTTGGTTGAAACTTATGTCTTTCAATGCATTGATTAGTTTACTGAAATACCTTTGTATGTAAATATATAAGTTTCATTCCATTTAAACTAACAAACAAGCTAGTCAAACAGTGGGAGGAAACATCTTCAGTTTCCAAGGAAGTTAATTCATTTTTTCAGAAAAACCAACAACCTCTAAAGAGCATACTCAAATGAAGGGTTTTATTTGCATAAAAAGGCTTATCTAAGCTATGTTAAAGGTCCAAGCAGCATTTAAGAGCATGTTTTGATACATTTGATAGGTCAATAGAGTAGTTCAATTCAGAAGAAAAAAATTAGAAGACGCCAAATAAATCCTTAAGATACACATAAACATTCAAGTGACTAATCATTTGACCATGCACTCCACATTTCACAGATTTAAACTTTGCACACTTGGGTTAAATTCAATTCAAAACTTCATAGGAAAAATAAGTCACACTCAACTCAACTCAAACCATGGGCAAACTGGTTTAAAGAAAAATGATGCCACAAAATGCAAACTACCTTTTCAGGAGACACGAAATCAAACACATAGACCTGTCCCTGGAATGAGAGAGTAAGCTGATTATTAGTTTCAGCTCCACCGTGAACTACCATTGCACTATGATTGTCCAACAGACTCCCATTAGCATCGCCCTTCATACAGTCACTCCCTCCGCTCCCTCCATTCCCATCACCACCACCATCATCATTGTGCTCCATCACGTCCCCATTGCTCATAAACCCATGGTGATGGTGATCATCGTGCTCCGGCAGGTAATGCACCTGAGGATGCTGCTGCATCGCCTCCTCTTCACTCCCTTCAATCCCTCCTTCCATTTTACTCCAAGTTTAAAACTTCATACACCTGCATTCAACTTCGCAAATGTATCACAAATTCACAGAAAACGCCCTCCTGATAGTGTTAACATGCCTTTTTATTCCAAAGCATTAAAAATCAATGCTAGGGCGCAATTGAGTGCATAAGTACACATTCAATCACACATATAAATCTTTGTACGATTCCATATGTGAATTGTGAAATGTAGGGTTAAAATAGCGTATATACCATTCATGAATCAAGAGAAAGCCAGTTCGAGTGGGAATTGACGGAGGCCCCGTACGATTCCGGACCGGCGATAAGTTAGATTGATGCAGTCGGCGGCGATGATCGGGAAGATCGGTCGACGGGCGGTGTGGATTAGATTGGGGGGAGGGAACCGTGAATTGGGAATCAAGCGTTGGTAAATTGTATGGCTTGGGGATGATTAGAGGAAAAAAGGCACGTCTTTGATTAATTTTTCTTTTTAAAATTTTAAATTTCCTTTACTGATATGCCCCACAAATCTTGGAAAATTATAAAAACTTTCCAAATCTCAATCCCAATTTTTTACATAATTGTACAAGTAACAAAAATAGCAACACCTTTGTTTTCGTTTTCTTTAACCACTTATATGTACTAGTATTACATCCCGTGCATTGCATGGTTCGTATTAACGTTATAAATTTATATTGGTATTATAAAAAAAGTAAATAAGTATACCATATAATGAAATATAATGTTTTTCAATTGTGTAATACAGTACATAAATTATCTCCACCACATCTTCCTATTCTGAAAAGAAGGGGAAGCATGTACCCATTGTTTTCCCGCCCGAGTGACTTCTTAAATACAGTTTAAGATATTAAAATGGCGAGTGTTTTAAAAAAAGAATTAAAAAGAATGAATGATTGAATTTTGATATTATTATTTTTATTAAAAATCAAAGGAGGTTAGATTTATTTTTCTTGAAACGCCGATTTCATAACCTTTTAAAGCATAGAAATAAAAAGAGGAAAGATTTAAAAGAGGAGGAATGCTTGATTTTTATTAATAACTTTAATGCGTATGCAATTAACATGGTGCAAATAAAATACATAAGATTAAAATTTTAAAACTTTCATTATTAAGCACAAAAATACTCACGGTTTTAGAATTCTTGCAATATTTTTTTATTTTCCGCCACACTAAAAAAATTAGTTACGCGTATAATAAAGAAAAAAAGTTTCAAGAAGTTAATTTTTTTAACATCGACTAATACTCGACATTAGACCTGGCAAAAAATGACCCGACCTGTTTTTTACCCGAGATGCGAACCGAAAATACTGGGTTTTGAACAAAGGTTTTACTGACCGAACCCGAAGTTGACTGAACCCGAAATGACCCGCTAAAAATGGGTCAAACCCGACCGAACCCGACCAGACCGACCCGCTAATCTAAGATTTTTTTTAGAATCATACATTTTAATATGAAATATAGTGTTATAAAAATAAGATTATAATTATATTTCTTTACTTACTACTCATTTTTTGTGTATAGATTTATACCATCATAACAAATTTTAATGATGTCGCATAATTATCTTACATTTTTTAAAAATTTCTACATATTTAATTTTTTTATTCGTAATATTGACACTAAGTCATAGAAATTATTTAAAATTTCAAAAAAATTAATGAAACTCATAACCCGTTGGGCCAACCTGAACCCGATGACACTGGGTCATGAACATGTAGTTATCAACCCGAATCCGAACTTATCCGAACCTGAAGTAACCCAAACTCAAGGTGACGAAACCCGAATCCGACCTGACCGACCGGTTTGCCAGGTTTACTCGACATATCAGACAAATAAAAAATGATTCAAAAAGGGGCCTTTTCGTTTAACATGCTAATAACTTCCAAAATTCTATGATTTCTTTTTTTGATCATTCTTTCTTTTCTTAATATGTTAAATATGTTTTTTCATGCATAAAAAATCCCCTTCAGTTTTCGGGCATTAAGTATGTACGGATTTTATAAAGTTAATTTCTTTTTTTAAATAGTTAAAACTTTATCATTTATATACACAATGCTTTCCTTTTATAAAACCATATTATTTATATACACCGCATTTAATTACACATGAATCTTATAAGGTATTTTCCTTTTATAGAATGAAATAAAATCATATTTGCATGTTGCTTAATTATAATTACCGTAGATTAAAAATGTTGATCAAAATCAATGGTTCATAAACGATAGTGTTTAGGTGGGAAAAAGCATTGGGCATAATTTCCCTGCTTTTAAGAATAGGATTTAGAATACATGTAAAACAACAAATTTGTAATAAATAATACTCGTATTATATCTATTTCAAAATAAGTTTTATAGTTTGACTTTTTGAAGTTTAAAATTGAAAATTTTAATATGTGTGATTGAATTTATTTCTAAAAGAGGAAAGGGGAAGATCTAAAATAAATTGTGGAATAAATAAAAGAACATTTTTGAAATAAATAAAGAACATGCATAAAAAAAATTTATAGCATAAATCTTTTGGTTGGAATAAATAAAAGAACATGTAAAATCTATTTTGGAATATAGATGGTGGATATGAGATAGCTATTAAACTATTTAAAAATTTTATCTAATCACAACATTTAGTTCTAAAGTTTTTAAAAATTAATTTTGTATCATTAACAAAATATTTTATTGTATTGTTATTTTAAAACTTAGAAACCTTTCCTTTTGTCTTGTTTGATTTTGTTAATATTTGATTGTATATTATTTAATTTAATATGATATGATTCAAGTAGAATTTAAAATAACTTTTAATTTCAACTTAAATAAAAGTTAAAAAAGTAAAATTACGCAGAAGGAATAAGTTAATATAAATCACTCATTTTATATTGTTCAACGGAAAAAGAAAGTGGAAATTTATTTTGAAATGAAAAGAATAAGTAATCCAATTCAGAATTTGTCCGTATTTTCTCAATCTAATTAATCACAATGAACCAATGTTTCTGTCTCCACTGAGATTCGAATTTGGTGAATTTTTTCATGAACTTGAGGATTGGTTTTCTACCCCTCAAGCTAAAGGAGAAACTCACTTTTTCAACTTACTAAATACCCCGAGTGTTATTTAATTTTATTTTTTATTGAATTAGATCAGAAACCGTTCTAAATTACATTTTTTTAAAAAGGAAAACGCTCTAAATTATGGCTCTGTTTAGTATCAGCATTAGAAATTAGCGTTCGAGTTTTAAAAATACTATCTAACAGTAGTCTTTTAAATTAGTATTTCAGAATTAATCTAAATAATTAAAATTTATCTAAAAATGGTAAAGCTAGTCCAAATTGTAACCAAAGAAGGCCTACTGTGAATTCAAATGCTAACGCTAGATGGAAGAGAGATTATTCTCTCTGTGTCCACAGTTTTATCCGGAGCAGCAGTAAGAACACAAATTATACCAGAAGCTGTGTATAACTATTAACTATACTCCATATATTAGCCGCAGGCAGATATGGCGGTCTTATTCTCTCTTTCATCATCAGCGGAAGCCATTTCTAGCCCTAATTTCATTCACAGGTTGTCAGAGACGCCGTCGTCTTCCCCATTGAAACCGATCAGAACTGTTTGTTTCTGCGACAGCGCGAAGCTAAAGCTGAGCTTGAGTGCCGCCTGCACCACCGCCACCCACTCGCCGCGGTCTAGAACCAGGGCAGTTTCTCGCGGAGATCTGTCCGGCGGAGAAGAGCTCGGAGAAGGGAGGGTTTCTCACGTCCAGACGAATGGGGTTGGACTAGTCTCGGAAGGAGCTCTTTCGCTTTCGCAGGTAGAATCGTTTGTTTTATACATCCATTTAGCTTGAATTGGTTTTCGTTATGTTGATGCCGCAGTGTTCATATCTGGTAGGGTTTTACTCATCAGACGCTGGGTGGGTGTTATTGTTTATGAATAGAGAAGTACATTATTTCATCTTCAGTTTCGTTCATTTTGTTTGAATTTTCTGTCTCAGCTCTCTTTTATGCATGCTTCTTGCTGACGCTAATTGGTTGAATGCAAAGATCACATCTTTGAACGTGTTTATTTCGCCAACTCAACTTTGGAAGTGTTTTTATGCGTGTTCGTGCTTTGGCTAACAAAATGGGCTTCGCAGGTTGCGTGATTGGTATAATTTGAACACAGGCGTGACTCATGAGTCTGATCAAGGTGATCAGTCAGTCAGGTTCTTCTTGAATAATAAGCTTCCTTCTCCATTGGTTCAACCGCCGAGTATCTTGAGAAGTCCATTGTTTGGCATCTTAACAGAATGCTGCCTATCTTTTCCCAATACCGACTCTGTTTTACTTATTAATACTATCTTCCAAAGTCAGGGATTGCCTTATTTTATTCAATCACATTTTGATTTTATCATGAAGTTCCTTGAGCAAGTATTCTTTCTCGAATGGAGTCATTGTGTGCCTTGCCATCTCTGCCTATTTGTTACTTTAGGACAAAAGCAATGACAAACTTGTTATATGGTCTCGTTGTCTTTTTGTCATTACAAGAGCACAAGCATTATTGTTCTGAACTATATTATTGCTCCCAACTTTGTCACTTTGTGGTAGAAATATTTTTCAATACGTCCAAACAGACAGTGAAAAAGTATTACCCACAATCACAGAACTACTACAAACAACAACAACCCAGTTAAATCCCACAAGAGTAGGGTCTGGGGAGGGTGTGTGTACGCAGACCTTACCCCTACTCGAAAGTAGAGAGGTTGTTTCCAAAGAGACCCCCGGCTCAACGTCGAAAGTTGCATTGCTTGACTAACTGCTACTTCATTAATTAAAGAAGCGCAGACAGTTTAGAGATCCATTTTGATTTATTCCATCACACCCCAAAGCCAAAAAATGGTGAAATTTTGGCTCTATCGGAGATGATGGAAAGGAATCACTGAACTACTAAAGAAGGAATATGTATATACCGCTTCTAATCTAGCATTCTAGCCTATAAGCTTGAGATATTTCTGGAAAGATTATTCTGAAAGTTGAAACATATGCATAAATGACTTTCCATGATAGTCTTCAATGTAAGTGTTAATTGGCTAATTCAGCTTTGTTTTGATGGACTCTCTTGTTTTCTGAAGGGTGATTCTGATGGGAAACAAACAAGGCAAATTAATATTAACGAAATGCCTAAGGTGGTGATGCCCCTTCAAGTCTCACTTGGAGGCACAACTGGTGGAGGAGGTGCACGTGCCGGACTTTTTAGAGCCCCAATATCAGGTGGTGTGCAAAGTGCAACCTCAGCTCATGGTCTACACAAACCTGCAATTGCAGTCCGCAATCTAATGGAGCAGGCATGAGTTACTTTTGTCAGTATTGAAACCCCGTATTTGACTAAAGTGGCTGAATTTTCTTAAAGAAAAAGCATTCACTAACATCCATTTCAGTCAAATAAGTCAAAGGCTACTTATTGTTTTGGAAAGCCGAATAAGCTAGGCAAGGCTATCAAACGAGCCTTAAATTGGGTAAGAATTTATATAACCGAGATACAGTTTTATATATTCTACTCTTATTGCAATTGTGTAGGCCAGATTTGCTCATTTGTGCACGTTGATGTCTCGAATGCATCACAGAAGAGAAGGTTACCCCTTTGGTTCACTTGTAGACTTTGTCGCCGACCCTATGGGACGTAAGTCACGACCTGTATTCCAACAACCACTTTATAACTTGATTATTTCTCTTCCAATTCTCTAAATTTTTTGGCAGATCCGGTGCTTTTATTATCACCATTAGCTATACATACCCGAAACTTGATAGGTGACCCGAGGTGTACATTAGTTGTCCAGGTCAGTGGTATATACCAAACATTTAGAATCTACAAGGTATGTGTTGCCCTTGCTGGTCTAGTGTTATGATCTTTTGGCTTTTCAGGTTCCTGGATGGACTAGCTTGTCAAATGCTAGAGTAACAATATTTGGTGACATTCATCCTCTCCCAGAAGATCAACAGGTAGTTTGCTGCCTTTATTGTTCAAATTGTTGCTAGAATTTCAATGTTATTTCCCTGAATTTTAATATTCTTCTCAATACAACATTGCAAATTCTCCATGGTATTATGTTACTCCGTATATAATATGTGCATTTTGCATTAGCTTCATTGCCTATGAAGCTAAAAAAATCATTTTTTACCATGTTTTAGCTTTAGGTAAATTATAGACTAAATAAAAATGACTCATTACACATCCCTTGCTTCTTACTTTCTATGAAGTTTTGGGTAGTAAATGCATCGAGTGTCTAATGGAAACAACCTCTTTGTTTTTTACAGCTGTGTACATCTTGACCCCCATACCCTAACAAAATTTGGGATTACATTGGGTTGTTGTTGCATCATATTTGTTGTCATTATTTGTATCTGTCTTTCTGTTTCGTTTCTTAGAATGAAAAATATTGCAAGAAATATTTCTAATGTCAATGCATGTAATCCGATAGTAGTCTGATGTATGTTTTTCTAGGAGTGGGCTCATAAGCAATTCATAAAGAAGCATCAACAAGGCCCTTCACAACAGTGGGCAAACTTTTATTACTTTAGGATGAATAATATAAGGTTAGTAGGACTCACTAATTACATATAAATTTTTAAGCTATATAAGAATTCACGATTTTATTGTTATTATTATCATTATGCTGATGTACTTGTAATAAATCACCTGATATTTCCTATCATCAGTGACATATACTTTATAGGAGGGTTTGGAACTGTTGCTTGGGTTGATGCCAAGGAATATGAGACTGTTGAGCCAGACAAAATTATTGTTCATGTGGCTGAAAAATACCTCAAGGTATGCTGAAAAATACCTCAAGTTGTTTATCTTTTGCATTCTCTAGCTATTAGAATGGCGTGGTACTTGAAGATGAGGTTTTGTAGTTTAAACTTTTAAGGAAGATTTGCCTAAATTTTTGTTGAGCTGGTTAAAAATAATATTTAGTCCCCTTTTTGTTTTGTTATTTGATGTTTTAGGATATGTTCAGTAATTGACAAGCTTTGAAATAACCTGATTGGGACACATTATAAAAAACATAAAATTTAGAGTAAATTCCATAACGGGTCCTTCATAACAGGGGTTTTTTCTAAGATATTATGTTCGTGGTCCTCTATATTTGAGAATCATTTCATAATTAGTCCATTGATCCAAATATTGTTTTCCACATATAGCCGAGGCCCGGGTCCTACCCCCTAAACCCGGACAAACCCCAAGCCTCCCGACCCCCCTTAACTTGGATCTTTGAACCCATCCCTTCATCCGAGGCCCAATGGAGCACCGTCGGGCACCCAAATGACTAGGTGTCATGATTATGACACCGAGATGTGGTGGTGTCAAAGGAACTGGGCCAAAGGAAAACATTGCTGAGTGATGTTTGCCGTCAATGCAGGAATTGAATGCAGTGTTCTCGAAGCCCCTAAGAGAGCTATTGTCCCAAGAAGCTGAGGTCGACGATGTGGCTCTCATATCAATAGATAGTAAGGGCACTGATATCCGCGTCCGTCAAGGAGCTCAGGTACTCTAATACTCACTTATGTCCACTCAGATAGTGTCTATCTGAGTAGTGCCCGGTGTGCCCGGACCTTTAGATTTGCATTGCCCGAGGCAGGCTACCAATACTCAATCTGAGGACCGAGCACCCACCCGGACACTCCCTTTGGACATTTATTTATAGTCTTTCTCTGCAGTTCAACATACAGAGGATGTCATTTGAAGCAGAGCAATCATTTGAAACACTTGAAGAAGCCAAAGAAGCTCTCTGGAAATTGATTGGTAAGGGCAAACATTATCAATTTCAGAAATGAGTATCTGCAAAGGGAGATTTGTAGCATTAGAAACTCAAGTATTTATCTGAAAAAAAGAGACACATTTGACCTCTGCACTCTATTAGACAGACATACACACTTGACTCACCCCCACATTTTTTTTTGTTAGTGTCTCACTGTCTCCAGTTCTTGTCTAAAACAATAATAGAGTTGTCATAAAACATTAGTCCTTCCGTCTTAGAGGAATTTGTCGCCTTTAATGTAATAATATACACCAAAGGTCGACAAATTCTAGCAAGGCGGAAGGAGTCGAATATAATGGCTGTAACGTTTTTGTATTTAGTACTTATTGTTGTTGATGTATTTCTCCCACATGGCAAATTCCTTCGCGATCCTTATTATTCATGTTCATTTTATAGATTTTAATAATATAAAATAATACTTCCTCCGTCCATAAATAAATTCTCCGTTGCGCGTTGAAAAATGGTGTAAAATTTAAAAATAAAAATTACACATTAAAAAACTATATCAAAAAATCTACAAAATTAGAAGTGACATAACCATATTATTTTATCAAATGGGTGATGAAAATAGGCCAACAAAGTGAATAAAGTTTGACCATGTGAATATTGAACAAGAAGTTTATTTGTGGATAGAGGGAGTAATCTGTAGTGGGCCAAATGTTAAAGGAAAAAGATCCAATTTTGAGTTCATGTAAAATATCTGAAAAGGTTGACATTTCACATGCAAATGTTTAATTTTAGTACCACTATAATACAACTCTTTCCACATAGATATAGTATAAAATAATTTGGGAAGGAGGGAGTGCTCATTTTGGTCCCTCTAAGTGCGTTCTTAAGTTAATTTGGTGTGAGTATGTTTTGTTGAATCAAATTAGCCCTTACAATTTTTTCTAAGTTCTTGTAGTTAAAAAATGTGACTCAACCTTGATTCATCTAATGAAATTTATTTTAATGGTAATACCAATGAATTAGCGGTATATGTAAAATGACCCATGAAGTAGTTGGAACTACTATGTGGGGTCAGCTACCTGAATCAAACGATATCATTGATATCATTGTGTTTGATCAACTTTTATATACGCGTATGTTGCAAGATCGTTCACGTGAAAGTTTGCTTTGATTACTTCGTGTTAAGTCTTCTTAGGTCTACTAGGTATTCTAATAATAGCTATAAAGTTGTTAAGATTAAATTGATTCACATTTTTAACTAGATAATTTGACTCAATGTAATATATAGAGACGAAATTAAATCACGAGTGCTATGAAAATGAGTGTTAACTCAATGTTGAAATGATGTGTGACGAGATATATTCACATCGAATATGCTGATGAAAATACTAATGATGAAATTAAGCGATGCTACTTTTTTGGATTTTAATTCTTGATTTCTAACATTTTTTAATTTCTTTCAGTTTATTTTAACTCTTTCTAGTTCATTTTAATTTTTTTAGTTTCTTTCAATTCCATCAAATTTTTATCAAATCCTTCAATTTTTTCACTTTTTTTAGTTTGTTCTAACATTTTCCAATTTCTTCTAAATTTTTTTTCATTTTCTTCCAACAATGGTTTGAAAAATATTTAGGTATATTCTTAATATTAATATTAATGCCTTGATTCTTTGGCGAACAATATTTGTTGTCATAATATGACAACAACACCTGTTTTGTTCAAAAAATTCAATTCCTGCCCCCGCTAAACCTCTAACCCCACCCCAGTTAGGGGTGTTCATTCGTTAAAACCAAACCGAACCAAATCAAATCGGAATTTTGGTTAAATAATTTTTGTGCCGAATATCGAAACATTATAATACTGAAAATATTCAAGTTTGGTAATCGGTTATACTGAAAAAGTCGAACATTTCATTTTATTTACATCTATAATTCACTTTTTTTTATTTTCAATTTGTATCACTTGCCATCTCATTCAAAACTTAAATAAATTAGAAATACTTTTTACTTTTTAGTTATAGTCACTCATAAATTACTTAATTTTTTGTATTATTAAAAGATTATCGAAGCACACAATTTCGATCTTGTAAAACTAACAATGCAATATAAAGAGTTCTTAAATACGGAGTATTAATTGGATAAAAAAACTCTCTCTCTCTACACACACAAATATATATATATATATATATATATATATATATATATATATATATATATATATATATATATATATATATATATATATATATATATATATATCTTGCATAAAAAGTATTCTATCAAATTGTTTAAAAAGGTCTTACCTTTAGTCATCGTTAATTTATCGCCCTACGAAGTGAGGTCAATATATTGATTATTTAGAACAAACGAAACAAAAATTGAAAAATGAAGAATCAAATAGTAAGTAAGTCTAAGAAAATTTAGCTAGATATGGAGTATTTTTTGTCAGAAATTAAAATTGTGAATAATAGGAAGGATAAGATAAGGTAGGTTACTATATGAGTGGCTAGGACTCAAGGTTGGAATTCAAACTTCAAAACATTTAAAATAATAATAATATGGAGTACTAATTTGGTATTCGGTAAAAAACCAAATTACCAAATTTTTAAATGAAACCAAACCGAAAACATATTTTAAGAAAAAGGAAAAACTAAATACCGAACCAAATTATATGGTTTTATTTCGGTACATACTGAAATTTTAGTTTTGCAACCGTTCAGTCGGTTTAATGAATTGTGCACACCCCTAACCCTAGCAGCACCTTGCTCCCTTCTGAGAATGCTAAAATCCTAGAGGTTTTGTGTGAATGTGTACCTTAACCCCTAAAATAGGGATGACAATGGGTCGGGTTCATGTCGAATAGTACTATACCCGAACCCGACCCGACTTTGAAAACTGAACTGAGTGCGACCCGAAACCCAACTTTTTAAGCCAAAAACCCGACCCGAATCTGACATTTAAACCCGAAACCCCGAACCTAAAACCGTAATTTAACCAATAATTAATTCAACGTACCCAATAATTTTAAAAAGATTAAATCTAATTTTTGTGTGTCTTTTTTGTGTGTCTCATTTCTTGGTAAGGAATTATAAAAATAATTATAAAAAGCATACTTGATATTGTAGCACCTTGTCAAGATATTATACGGAGTGCTCATTATATCCTCGCCTCTCTCCTCTCTTTCTCTCCTCCCTCTTCTCTCTTTCTTCATCTTCTTTTCTTCTCTCCACATTTGTTCCTCTAGATCCGTTCGCTTTGCTTCTTCTTCTTCTCCTTCTTCTTTTTCCTCCTCTTCTTCTTTCTCGCCCCTATTTTTCTCCATATATGTTCCTCTTCCTCCTTCTTCTCTCCCCATTCTCCCCTCTGTTCTTTCTCGTCCTCCTTTTTCCCTCCAGACCCATTCCTCTTTCTTCTTCTTTTTCTTCTCCCCTAATTCAAATCAATTCATGTTCTTTCTTCCTCTTCTTATTCCCCCTTTTCTCCTACTTGATTCTATTCTAAATCTATAAGGTGTGGGAAGATCTAGGGGCTGAGGTGGTGGTGAGGGCTACGACGATTGTGGGGGGTCGACGATATTTTTAGGCTTGCGGAAGTGGTGGGATGGGACTGACAGAAATAGTGGGAGCAAGGGGCAGGGGGTAGTGGGTAGGGACTAGGGACAATTGGGGAAAGGGTATTTTGGACATTTCCATCCTAAAGTTAATACTTCATAAAAATGAGAAAAAATCCAAATGAGAAGTTTAATGCCAGAGAGATGGAGTATATATGTCTTTTATGATCTCATTTTTATCTTTGCTATTTGAGCCGAGGGCCTATTAGAAACAACTTCTCTACTCTTTAGTAGGGGCAAGATCTGTGTACAGCGTACGTACACACTCCCTAGACCCTACTCTTAAGAGATCCAATTGTGTTGTTGTTGCAGCAAAAATATCTTATGGTTCAATCCAATGATCACAAACCCCATCCTAAGTTCTATACTAGTATCTTTTAACATCCTGCTTTGTTTTTATAATCTAAAAGAAGAGAGCCTGAGTAAACAAATGTAGAATGACGCTATGTTTTTATAAGAATAATGAAAATATGTTTAACGGCCTAACATCTCCACTACCCCAGCAGTTTTAGGAAATGAGCGGCAGTGCCCTCTTGTTTACAAAACTTATTAATAAAATCGCTGTGGTTTCAAACTTATTAATATTTTCTTTTTTGTTTTTCCAGTATAAAAAGATAGCTTTTTGGGGAAATTCAAAAAATAGAATTAGGAATAGGAAAAAAGAAATAAAATAAAAAATGAAAGGGAAATTTAAAATATATAAAGATACAAAAATACTCTTAAAAAAGAAAACTTAGCTATTGAGTGTGCTAATAAGCTTCCTTTTCTAGAAGTCTAGACAAATCCTTATAACTCGGATGCCCAGAATTGGTGATTTCTTTTGATTCTAAAAATAAAGAGGATTTTTTTTCATTTTTTTGAATCTGTTCTACCCTAGTCCAAAAAATCTTCTTTTTCTTTACCCAAGAGATAAAAAAATGACTTTGAACGTATTGAAAAAAACTTTATCACTGCACTTGCTGACTATAAGAGTATTTTTCTTATGTTTTCTTTTCTTCCATTTCCTTTTTCTCTTTTTTTATTTTATTTTATTTCCTTTTTTATGCATCATTTTTTGAGGTTCCCAAAATAAAAGCTTTACTTTTAACAAAAAATAAATTTATTTAATTTCACGAAGATGCAATATATGTTAATTTTTTTCATTTCATTAATTTTTTATTTTAAACAAAAAGAATTTTAAAATTTTAAAACATTATAAAAGACAATTTTTAAAAATACATTTAAAAAATATCTATAGTGAAAGAAAGAAAGAGAGAAAAAAGGAAAAAATCTAAAAAAATAAATGAAAATACATGGAATGAGTTTCGATGCCTCCCGTGGCTCAGGAAATAAGCATCAATGCCCACACTTCACTGAAAAACAGTTGGAAAATTATCAAAGGGGGTTTATGTGCAACATTTTATGATTTTAAAAATAAATTTTAAAAATAAAGGGGGTCTTGGTGTTTTTCACATTGTTCATCTTTTTTTAATTCACAACTTATATGAATTTTGATACAAATTTTTATTTTAAGCAAAAAAGATGAATAATATAAAAAAATAAAAAAAGATTGTAACGATTCAAAAATTAAAGCTAAGCGAATAAAACATTACATTACGAAATACTACATAAATAAAAAGAGAAATTTAACACGCTTAAAGTTTAAATTACAAAAACTAAAAAAATAAATAAAAGGAGTGCTTGAAAAATAAAGACTTAAAAAAAATACTACTGAGTTGTCCTATTTATCATGTCGTGATGGTACTTCAGTTCAAACTCCGACATCCTCAACGTATCCATTGCCATGAGTTTGCTGCAATGAACAACGAAGCTAATGCTAGCAAGGTTTTTATTTATGTCCAACACCGGGTTTTCGGGTGGGGTGCCATACTAAGAGTCGTTGTCTTGGCCTCCCCCTTCCCATTCTTTGCCGCCTTTGACCGGATCGAGTGGCTCTGACCACTGGGTTCGTTGCCCAATTCATGGGATAGGTCATCCCCCGTGATGTTGATGTCGATGGAATGTCTGCCCCCACTCGTTGAGTAGGAACCAGTCTCATAGAGTTTGGATCGCTTCGGTCCCGAACCTTCAACCATAGCCCCGATGCTGAATTTGGGGCTCCTTTGCAGAATTTCCCGCATTTCCTGGAACATGAAAACCCTCTTCTTCGCTTCATAATAAAGGTCCAACGCCTTCGACATAATGTCTTTGGCGGAGGACCCACTGGGCCACGTCTTAAAGACATTGGCATAAAAGCCACCAAACTTCTGGACTTCCGGGTGCACATGACTTCAGTTTTTCAAAGCATCTCCCCGCCACGTACGAGCGTACCATTGGGCCTCCTGGCGTTGTACTTCGCCACAACACGCTCCTAGAACATTTTAGATTTCTGGTAGTTACTGACAATGGCGTCCTTCGGCACATCGACATAGTACTTCGCCAATGTCAGACTTTCCATCGGAGTATACTTCTTCGCCCCATCAGTCTTTTGGCCTTTCCTTTGCTAATGCCCTTGTTGATGGGCTCCAACTTAGAAACGTCACAATCGATCATATTAATGCCCAACAATTAGTAGGGGCTATCGTTGGAGTCCGAGAACGGGGCAAAGTCATCGCCGGGTAAAGAACTGGAGTTTACAAATCGGATGATGACATCGAGTTCAGAATTATCAAAGTTGAAGTTGTTGCTCTTGGAATTCATTTTGAATAATGAAAAAACGGAGAGAAACTGAATTGAGTGAGGTGAAAGTGAATTGAGAGAAATGAAGAATGAGAGTGATGAATTGAAGTCGAAGATGTGTCAAATTGTTGGATTTCAATTCCAAATTTAGCGGCTTATTTTCTCTTTTATTGCAGATATAATTTTTTTTAAGTATTCTAAATATCCGAGATGCGGTAAAAATATTTCACAGGATACGCAAAAAACATGAGACAATCCGGATTTTAAGACAAAGAGAATATGATATTCAAAATTCAAACCCAATAGTATCAAAATACCCATCCCTAATTTTCAAACAACGGATATTGATTAGGCCTAATCCAAAATTACCAAAACCCTATTTTAGCACAAGAAAGGAGTGCCAACGACTCAAAAAGTGACAGCCACTGTGTGACGGTAAGTCTTAACAAAAACCCTGGAGGAGGAAGAGCTGTAGACTGTAATCACCATTTCTTCGTCTCTAATCTACCTACTTCGTAGTTTTTTTACTGCTCTCAATCATCATTCGCTATATACTACAGTATACTCCTATTCTTTACTCGTATATAGTAGACTGTCACTTTCTCTCTCGCGGTCACTTTCTCAATCACCACAATTTTACTGAAAGGGAAGGATTTATACGATTCCGTATGCATTTTTTATATTCATACGGTTCATACCCAAATCATAAAAAATTCAGAGTGGTTGTCTCCTGTATATATTAAAATAAACCCTAATAATGAATTTTTTTCTTCGTTAGCTTGTTCGTTTATCTGGGTTGGTGGTTATTGCTGGACGAGACAACCCACCAGATGTTGCGGCTTTCTGAAGATTCATAGAGATAGCTGAGGGATCGCACTGCAATTTCATACACGAGTCTCGCTTTCAGAGAGGTTACTTCTGCTCTCTTCACATTCTTGATCTGCTTCTCTTTCTCAGGTGCGGTCGAAATATTCACCTGGATCTTTGCTATCCCTTCTGCCCATCTTGTCAGTGTGTGATGTTTTTATCTACTAATCATGGCTGTTAGTTTTTGGCATGAGAGTTGTGAAATTCTGTGGATTTAGTTGGGGTATAGTGTGCATTGAAGAACTGAAGTGCTTTTCGGGTGAATATCGGGCGGAATTTATATTAATGGATTTTTCTTCATTTGCCCTTTTTGGAAAAATCGCATCTTGTTCTTTCAGTAGGAATGGGGTGGAGCTGTTTTTTGTTTGTTTGTTCCAGGCTCTCAATTTCTTGGAAAACTTTTGTTTTGTTGATCATAAGGCGTTCCTTGATGCTGTCATTTTGAATTCATCTGAGCTTCATTGGGATATTAAGCCCCATGTTTGATGTCGAGATGTTTTATTTGGCTACTTGTTTCAGATCCATGAATTCTTGTTTTTGGGCTTGTGTGATGCTCTGATCAAATTGCTTTCATAACTTTCATTTTGAATGCCTTGTTTAATTGTTGAATATTTGAGGATTTAAACCTCTAAAATTATTCATTTAGAACCCCTCTCAATATTTTTCTATTTTTCCTGTTTTACTTTTACTGATTTGGCCTCTCTAACCTTGTAGCCGATATAGGTAGGAGTAAGGGATGGTTAAATTCTCCCTCCCCATACCCTCTATGCGAGACCTAGGTTGTTGTTGTACTTTTACTGGTTTGGAACTCCGGCCGTTAGGAATATTGGGGGTCGACTTGGGTGTGTTCACTATATTGGCTACTATATCATTCTTTTCATTTAAAGGTTTTATGAAGGTTTCTAATACTCAAAGTTACCTATTGAGTTTGTTTCCTCCCATGATATTGTTTTAAATATTTTCTTTACAAACAATGTAAATGATTACGTGGTTCTATATCGGACAAGGATTATTTGTTGGTTTTTCCTTTTGTACTCAACGCTATTTTCATGTTTACTTTTTACGCGTGTATTTCACATTTATTTTGCTTCGTGGCATCTTATGCGCAAATCAGGTAGACAGTTCACCTGGCTGTCAATGCATGCCTTACCTATTCAAAGTTGATTGTCATTTTCTATTCACACGCTCCTTGCAGTTCACATATTGAACGTCATCACCATAAATGTTTCCCAAATTATATTGCTTTTTCCTTTTTGAGGATAATGGGAGTATGATATTATGCTATGATACTGTGTGTGCACATATAAATGTATATACTCTTTCAAGTTTCTTTCTCTCACTTTTTAAGTGAGTGAATTTTTCTTGTTCCACGTGTTTTTGTAAGTAGTGAATATATCATAATTTGTGCGTGGTTGTTTCAAGGTATTTTTGTGGCCCTTTTATCTTTGTCATGTACTGGTAGTGCATAATACACATATCAAGCAATGTATATTGTATAGTACATATTTTGTTTTAAAGGCAACCTCATATGATATATTTTCATATACTCTTGCAGGGTGTGCCTCATAAGATAGCGTGATGGGTTCTAGGTTCCCATCTCATCAGCTCAGCAATGGCCTCTATGTGTCCGGTCGGCCTGAGCAGCCAAAAGAAAGAACTCCAACAATGAGTTCAGTGGCTATGCCATATACTGGTGGTGACATAAAGAAGTCTGGAGAACTTGGAAAAATGTTTGACATTCCTGTGGATGGATCTAAGTCAAGAAAATCTGGGTCTATGTCTAATGCTCCTTCAAGAACTCATTCAGGACCCATCAATCCTAATGCCGCTGCCAGGGCCGGTTACTCTTCTGGTCCTTTTTCGTCCACGATGGTGTCTGGTTCGGCTTCAATGAAGAAATCAAATTCTGGGCCTCTAAATAAGCATGGAGAGCCCATGAAGAAGGTATCAGGACCTCAATCTGGGGGAGCAACTGGACGTCAAAATTCGGGCCCTCAACCACCGGTTCTCCCAGCAACTGGTTTGATTACTTCTGGTCCCATATCCTCTGGCCCGCTGAATTCTTCTGGGGGACCAAGAAAGGTCTCTGGGCCATTGGACTCGATGGGCTCTATGAAAATGCATGGTCCCTCTATCGTCAACAACCAAGCTGTGACAACTCTTACTCAACACGATGAGTTCTCATTCAGTAGGAACTTTCCAAAACCTATACTGTGGGCAATGATTTTGCTATTTCTCATGGGGTTTATCGCTGGAGGGTTTATTCTTGGAGCTGTGCAGAACCCTATACTCCTAATTGTGGTGATTGTTCTGTTTGCCGTTGTTGCAACTCTGTTCATATGGAACTCTTGGTGGGGAAAAAGAGCTATCATGGGTTTCATTGCTCAATATCCAGATGCTGAATTAAGAACTGCAAAAAATGGGCAGTATGTCAAGGTTTCTGGGGTAAGTTCTTTCATCATTTGATAACGAGAAATTCTGTTAGTGTTGTGTCACCAAGTTTTTATCCCTTCATGAATATATTTTATGTTTGATTCCTGTAGTTTTTATGTCACTTAAGGTAGATATATGCAGTAAAGCACAATTAGAGATGTCTCACTTTGTCAGATCCATCCCAAATCTTAGGTGATCACTGATCAGTAAGTGAATGGAGAAAATCAGAAACACAAACACCCAAAATATTTTATCTTTCCATTGCCTTTAGAGTATGGAAGTGCGCAATTATTCAACCATGGTACAATCTCATGATCAGATAAAGTTTATATTGGAAAATAGACTTTTGACGATAGAGAAAGAAAGTAAAAAAAATGGGTTGGGATGGAATATACAAGTTTGCCTTCTCCCATACCGTCTAGACTCAAAGCTCTCGTCACCTTTTTTACCCCCTCAATTTTCTTCTAAACTACTGCAGTGGTACAGTTGCTGGTATGTGACCTTTGAAGGGAAACCTTGGTCCAGTGGTTAAGCTTGTTTCCCTCTGACCTTAAGGTCACTGCGTAGACTATGGAAACAACCTCTTATTATGTATTTGAATTGGACTCACTACATCAGCATTCTTGCACCGGGTTGCTTTTTCACAAAAAAAGTTTTCATAGACTTTTCTCTGAGGTGGTTTGAAGGAATTGAAGGCACTGCACATCACCCATATAAATGTACATGGAAATGAATATCAGATGTGCTATATGTTGAGAATTTTTTTTATTTTTTACGGAGTAATATTTCACAACTTGTACTTTTCCAGTAGCTTAATTCAATATTCGTGAAGTTATTATGCCTTGTCATTTTTGTGAAGGTGGTGACTTGCGGAAATGTACCTCTAGAGTCATCTTTCCAGAAGGTTCCTAGGTGCGTGTATACATCTACAAGTTTATATGAGTATCGAGGTTGGGATTCAAAAGCTGCAAATCCTACACATCGCCGATTTACTTGGGGGGTTAGATCTTCTGAAGTGAGTTGAATCGTATCTTTATCAGCTATTATTTTTTTGTGTAGATTTAAAAATAAATCTGAAGTAGCCTAGTCTATTGTCTTTAAAAAAAAGTAGAACTTGGGGTATAAAAGACCTTGTCATGTTCTTGATGATAACCGAGAGCTAAAAAGTTTGGAACTCCACTGCTGCCATGCTTGCAGAGGCATGTAGTCGACTTCTACATATCCGATTTTCAGTCTGGGTTGAGGGCACTGGTTAAGACAGGCTATGGGGCAAAAACCACCGCATATGTGGAGGAGTCCGTGGTTGTTGATGTCAATCCTTTGAACAAGGAGCCATCTCCCGAATTCATAAGGTGGTTAGGGGAGAGGAATCTTTCAAGTGATGATCGCACGATGCGGTTGAAGGAAGGGTATGCTTTTTTTGCTCCCCTTTTCTTGTCTCTTCTTTCTCTTTTCCTCTATGGAGGACATTGGTTTCACTATATATATCTCCCCAATGTACTTTATATTTCAAAGTGTGTGTGGGCGCGGCGTGCAGGTATATAAAGGAAGGAAGCACGGTGAGTGTAATGGGGGTGGTGCAAAGGAACGAAAACGTGCTGATGATTGTGCCGCCACCCGAACCGTTCACAACCGGTTGCCAGTGGTTGAAATGCATTTTCCCGGCCAGCCTCGACGGCATTGTGCTGAGATATGAGGATGCTTCAAAGACAGACGTGATACCGGTGTGACATCAGCGCCCCACCAGTAGGTTATCATGTGCTTTCTTTCATTGATTCATTTTTCTTCAGGTTTTCATGCTACTACTATTACTACTACTAAGCCTACTGAAAGATAGAGAGTTTCGTGGAGATTGCGCAGTATAGATGATGGAGGCGACAATGCAAATCTGAATGATCGCCCGCCCGTATTTGGATACATATAGTTTGATTGATATCTAATTTTCTGTATAGTTTATTAGGTTTTTTTTCTTCTTTATCTTGCAAGGATATCATTGATGGTTATGAGTGGTGTTTTGGGAATCAAAGTTTTTTTCCATGCTCTGACTGTGTGTGTGGGAACAAAACCTTTGAGTTGGTTCTTTTGTATCATATATCAGAAGATTGATCCTTTGGGTTTTTTTTGATTCAGTGCTAGTTTGTTTGTTTGAGGAGGTTAATATAATATAATGTTGATTTGTTACATAATTGTCTTTCCACTCCCCTATATAATTGAGTAATCAACTCTATGGATATGAGTCTTCTAAAAGGTGTGACCATTTTGGTTAAAACATGGAATTCTCATGGTTTAAAATGGGGGGGGGGGGGGGG